CATCGGTTGTAGGTTTAAAGTGGGTGTTTCACAACAAAATGGATAAAGAATGGAATGTTATAAGAAACAAGGCAAGACTCGTGGTTAAGGGGTATTGTCAGGAAGAAGGCATCGACTACGAAGAAACCTTCGCACCTATTGCAAGGTTGGAATCTGTTCGCATCTTCTTGGCATACACAGCGCACAAGAACTTCGAGGTATTTCAAATGGATGTTAAATGTGCTTTCTTGAACGGAGAATTAGAAGAGACTGTATATGTGGAACAACCACCTGGGTTCGTAAACGAGAAGTATCCCAATCACTGCTACATCTCTGGAAAACCACCTGGGTTCGTAAACGAGAAGTATCCCAATTTGGACATATACGATGACCTTACTCGCTAAGCTTGGCATGGTGGGAGACTCTAAAGTGAAGGTTCCAATGGCATTCGGAACGAAGCTGACACCATCTCTGGAAAAACTAGCTGCTGATATGACCCTTTATCGTCAAATGATAGGATCATTGATGTATCTAACAACTAGTAGACCAGATATTATATTTTCCGTTTGTTAGTGTGCTACGTTCCAAGCAAATCCTCACGAACCTCACATGGTGGTCATCAAGAATATCTTAAGATACTTAAAACGAACTTCATCTCTTGGCATATGGTACCCTACGAAATCAGGCTTCTTCGTACAAGCGTTTTCGGATGCTGGACTTGGAGGATGTGGATTAGATAGAAAAAGTACAACTGCAGGATGCCAATTTCTCTATGGCAAACTTGTCAGTTGGCAATCCAAGAAGCAAACGTGTGTGTCCTTTTGAACAGCTGAAGCTAAATATATAGCTGCTGCCTCATGTACATCTCAAGTCATTTGGATTCAAAGTCAGCTTCGTGACTATGGCTTAAGCATGAAACGAATCCCACTATATTGTGACTCTGAATGTGCCATTCGCATTTTTCACAACCCAGTGCAACACTCAAAGACGAAACACATAGCACTGAGGTATCATTTCATCAAGGATCACGTAGAAGACGGCAACGTTGAAATTCATTTCGTGAGATCCTCTGATCAGTTGGCTGACATATTCACAAAATCCTTGCCTGAAACAACCTTTAATAGAATTATTCAAGGCCTAGGAATGATGGAAGTTGAATCTGTACCAAAACCACCTTCGTTTTAATAAAGTTGTCGATGTGAATCGATGCGAACGCTTGCAGTGACTCGTAGTCCACTGTTCATTTGTGGTTCGGTTTTACCAATATTCTTTTGTACTTTATGTATAATGTTTCAAAAATTCAAAAATCATTTATTTGAAAAATCCAAAAATACAAAAATATTTGTTCCTTTTTTCGCTCTCTTGGTACCCCTTTCGTTTTTATTCTTGTTACGTGAATTGGCACGAGCGCTCGCTCTAATTCATTTCTGATTTTTTGGGGACACGAATTGACACGAACGTCCGCCCTAATTTGCATCAAATATTTTTTATGCTCGCTTTCAATTCTATTTTTTTTCACGCGAATTGGCACGAGCGCTCGCTCTAGTTTGTTTCCGATTTTTTCGGGACACGAATTGACACGAACGTTCACCCTAATTCGCATCAAATTTTTTTGTTTTGTTTGGCATTATCTTTTTTTCCTTTGTATATTACGTCTTTAAATTTTATTTTATTCAAAATTTAAAATTATTTTTCTTCTATTTTTATTTCTTTTTCAGAAAATTTCAAAATACAAAAACATTTTGTTTGTGTTTATTTTTATTTCTTTTATTTTCAAAAACACCAAAAATATCTTAAGAAGATCATGGAGGCACAGATTCGTATCTCAATTCGTGTGATAGGGCAGATATAAGTTTCTTTATCTATGTATTAGCGAAGTGTCCCTAGAAGCATGATGTTGTATGTTGTCTAAAGCCTCAATTGACTCGATGTGAAGCCTTAATGAATCGATTCTACTAGTCGTTTCTTCCCACTCAGGTTGTTAAATTCACATTAGTCATGAGCTACCTTACTCTTCTCACTTTGAGTTAGGAGTTATCTGCTTAGTCACTTTCGTATAGCAGAGGTACATTCGCTTCTCTGGAACCATCTTCACACTTCTCCATTGCCTTCGCACTCATAAATGTAACCCTTGAGATTCTCAGCTATACCACTAAGGTTTATGGTTACACAACATCTGTGTTAATGATCTTAGTCTCGTTCACCACGAACCGAGTGAAATCCAAATCCAACACACTGACATGAATTGACGATGAACAATTAAATGTTCTAGATTTTCACCATGGAATTAATGAAAACCATTTTAGTGATCTGTATCAAGGAATCTTTTTTTAGAGATCTTTATGAAGTGTTTTGGTTCCAAGATACTTATTCCCATAAGATCCAGTTTTATTTTTTTTTGAGATTTCAAAATTTTAATCTTCTCACTAAAATAATTCCAAACCTACTCGTTCAACTGACTACACTGGTCACACGAGTACTTCATCCAACATTCATACTTATGTCAAGTTCGTTGTTTGGTTGGAGAGTTAGCCACCCATTAAGCCTAATTAAAAGATGCCTTTCAATGTTTCTTATCAAAGACTTGATCGTATTTCAACGAGAAACCACACATACACTTCTTAGTCTCTCTTGACTTTGAAGGAAGAGATCGTTGCCCGGGATCTATAGTTTCATGTCTTTTAAGACATCACTAATATCCTAAAGATATATCTTGCTTTATTTCTTTTTCTTTGGCACACTCTTGCACGAAAATCTCTTTGATTTTCCTAAAAGTCTTGTTCGTGGTACTTATGGCATTTTCAGTTTCGCAGATTCAATGATGCTCAGTTTTATACACACAAGTTACCTTGTGTCTCAAATGCGTACGGACGTATGAGTATTTACTGAAAATATTGGAGATTGAAAGGATGAGAACAAGATAATAAAGACGCGGCTTGTGGTGGATAAAACTTTGAAATTTAGGCGCGTGGAATTTGAAACGCTTCCGCTTATCACGCCGCCTGACACCTTTATCGGGGCTACAGTTGTCAAATCCCGCTTTTTCAGGCGTCGTTTCAGAGGAAATCGATCAATTGATGCTTCAAATTCTCTCTCTTGCGTAATCGTATAAAATGAATTTTCATCCACAAAGTTACTTTTTACCTCTACCAATTCTCTCAATAACCCTAACGGCAATTTCTCTCTATTGTTCTTCTTCTTCATCAACCTGCAACAATGGCCGTTTCCTCATCAGTTCATGATCAGACCGATCACTCGTCACTACTTGCCATCAAACAGAATCAAAACTTGATTCTTGATTTGTCTCCATTCAAGTACGATTCTTTCATGCTACCAATCATTGAATGCTTGAAGTATTCCCCTCTGGTCAATGCCTTAACTAAGGTTGAGTGCGTCCCAATGTCTCTGCTCTCGAAGGCTTATTCCTCAACATCATACATCAAGGAAGAAGAACGCATCACCTTTGAAATCTCTGACAAGAAAACTTCTATCACCAAGTCCAGGTTATGTTCTCTGTTAGGGCTTGCATATGATGACTCCATGGTGAATCCAGACTCAATATTCATCGCAGCTATTGTGGAGATGTTATATGAGATGGGGTATAAAGATCTTATTCCTTCTATCTCCAAGTTCATAAAACCCCACTTGCCTCCTCAATGGAATGGTCTATTTACTCTTCTTTTCAAAGCTTTTTCTGAAAGAGTCACTGGTTCAGACTGTGCCAGTAAGCTGTTTATGACTCTATTGTATGGTCTTTACCATGGAATCAATCTTGATTATGGCACCGTTCTATGGGCTCAGCTGGTGCAAAGTACTCACTCCACGACTCGACACTGTGATATTTCCTGTGCTCGATTTTGGAGTGTTGTTGTTCAACGAGTGATTGAAAAACACCAAATCCCCATGATGAAAGATTCATTGATGTCCTCAATTGCCACTTTTCATACAACCAAGATCATCATTGCTGACAACTCGAAGTTTCCCTTTGCTGGCTCTATTCTGGAGAAAATGCTTTGATGTGTGCCAGCTGCAAGTAAAATTCTGGAGGAGTACAAAAAGCTTCCATCTTCAGGAGCTCGCACCATTACTCCTGAGATGCGCACAACAATTGACCAAGCTGACAAGGTGAAAAAGGGAGGTAAACAAAAGCAAATGAAATAGGGTCCCTCTGAGCCAGCGGTCACTCCAAAGAAGAGAAAGGCGAAAACTGCTCCTTCTACATCAAATCCCAAAAGGCGAAAGCATCCAGCTCACAAGCGAAAGACCCCCACACCAAATGCAAGTGAAGATTCGGAGTCTGACACTCAGTCAGACATTCGCATCGAGGAGGATAACCCCGTTCGCAATAACGATGATAATGTTCACAACGAGGATGACAATGTTCACAACACAGAAGAGACATCAAATCCTGAGGTAACTCAAACTTTCAATGATTATGTTCCTTCTCCACCTCCCTCACCTAAAACCACCTCTATCCCAATTACCATTGCACCATGCCCTCCACCAGTCTCTTCACAACAACAAACCAACATTCCTCTCTCTCTATCCCATTGTTCACTGATTCTACAATTCCACCTACTACCTCTACCACACCTCTTGTTTCAGTCAATGTATCTGATACGGGGGCCAAAATTTCAGGTTTCTCAACCCATGTTTCACCTCCTGTTTCCCCACTCAACTGAGATGACTCGGATATGATCTTCGATGATGCTGAAGACAAAGATCTTGGGGGATTCACTTATAGTCCCTTCCAAATATGGAATAAAAGTGAAGATAATGTGCCTGTTTCGAAAGGACAACTTCAGTCCCTACACGAAAAGATTGGTCAACTGCTTCTCGCTTCCCAGGCTTCGTCTTCTGACGCATACTCTAAAGATGCAGTTGAGTCTCTCTTTGACAGAATCACAAAGGAGCATTCTGCTAATGCTGAAAAGATGAGTAAAGCAGTTGTTGATTCTGCTGAAGTTTGCAAGTCTACGACCGAAAAAGTTGATAAACTAAATGCTGACACCACTACCTTCATGGAGAATTTCCAAACCACCTTCAACTCCAACACCACGGCAGCCAATGAAGCTTTAAAGAGTTTGGGCTCTCTCGTCAAAACTGAGAAGAAGGAGTTGCAAGAGATTCGCACTGGTTTGAAAACTGACCATGAAGCGTTTCAAACCTCCATCTCATCTCAAATTTCCAAGCTTCAAGACGAACTGGCAAAGGAGAGTACCCTCAAGGACTCCCTTTCCCTCAAGATGGAAGAAGTAAAGATGTTGACTGTTAAACTGGACACTTCAGAGAAACAGGTCAATGATTTGTTATCTAAGAGAGCTGTCATGTAAAGCTGTATCACCGATGTTACCAGCATGCTCTCGGAGATCATTGAGACCAGGGACTCAATGATCACAATAACAATGCGCAAGCATCTGGCAGAGAAGATAAGGCCAGTCTTCGCAATGCTTCACATGCTAGAAGGTGTTTCAGATCAAACCTTTAATCAGAAGCAAGGGGGAGAAGGTGTGTCTGGTGGGTCAAGAAAAGAAGAACCCAAAGCTCCAGTTAAACCTGTTGTCAAGCAAGAACCAAAGGGCAAGGAAAAATTGTTCAACGAAAAGCCCCTAATTTATAATAGTGAAGACGAAGAGGAGTTGGATGAAAACGAGCTTAAAAAGCGAAAGGCTCGTGAAGTCGAACTAGATGAGCACCAACGGATCATTCGAGAGGCTAAAGAAAAGGAAAGAGCTGAGAAAGAGGCTCAGGCTACTCTTCAAAGCAAAAAAGCTTTTGTTTCCCAAGTGGACCTTGAAGCGAATCCAGCGTGATGTTGTTGACTTACCAAGCCAGTATTGGTTAGAGCCAGTTGTGTCTTTTGATATTCAAAACACATGAGACTCGAAACTGGATCTACCAATCACTCCAAAAGCCTTCAGGTTCCGTTCTTTTGTGAAAGTGGCGAACACTCCATCCACTGATAGCGGGGTTGATCATATGTTGTTCTCTTTTTATCTGAAGCATATGAAGCCGCAATACGAAACATGGTCTTTGAGCAAGATAATTGATGTGAAAGTCACAGGACCAATCGAGACTGACAGCTTTCCGAACGCGAAGTTCAATGTGGCAAGAGGTTCAGCCAGCCAGTGCTACAAATTCACTCTCGCAGACTTACCTTGTCTTAACCCCAATCATTGGTTCGTTCTTTACAACATGTTGCTGAAGGACAAAGAAAAATACGATCCTGTCATGTCTCGTCTCAAGAAAATGATAAAGTCTTACATCCAAGAGATTGGGGAAATGGATGTTGAGGTTGTTGTTGTGCAGCGAAAGAAACCTTCTGTTGTTCGTAAGGAAACTCCTAAGGACTTCGAAAAGATGAAGTTAGGGAAGATTTACAGTGGAGAATGGTTCGTTGTCTATTCAGCTAGGGAACGAACTGGTGTAGACTTTCGCAAAGGATGCTTCTTCCTTTTTGATAAGCTTTTGTACACTACATCCTTCCTCGAGTGTATTTTGGATTTGGTGAGTAAATACAAAGGCAACAGTAAGGATGACCTCAATTGCTTCTTTGACATGGTTTATGGTATATTGAAATTCTTCAGACACTTTTTGGCATCATTCCAAAAGTTTATGAAGTACAGAAGCGAATCCAAGGCTAATGGTTTAGTGCCTCAATTAACGCAAAAGGGGAGATCGTTGGGTATTAGATGTTGCGTCATTGGGCTTTTAATTTTAGTCTTTTGTATTACCGAGTTGGGCCTGTCCACTCGTGTTTATTTCTAGGGTTAGAGTATTTAAGATGCATGCATGCATCATATTTTTTTCAACTCTGATCTTTACGTTGTAACCCTAGTCACGCCTCTACAGTAGCAATTCTTCATAGAGTTCTTCTGAGGCGTGACACTTAATCATTCAATATTATTTGAATCATCGTTGTGTTTTTTGCTTTACTTGTTTTGAATCTAATTGATCTTTTAGGATTTTAATCCTAACAAATCTCTTGGTCACGTTGTGACCAAATAAAGACAAAATAGTCGCAAGTATTCCATCGTCACGACGTGACAGGCACCTCGTCACGTCGTGAGAACTAGCTGAATGGTAGCTTAATGGATTAAGCCCTTAACCCATTAAGCCACAAACTCATCTCCTCCATAAGGCTTCCTTACACCCAAAAAGCCATAAAAATCGATGCTTTAAGGTCTTGCATGCCCAATGCAAGACTTGAGCTCAAAGTAGGTCACTCATGAAGAAAAAGGTGGTCAAAACCTCAAGCATGATTTTAAACTTCACCAAACTTCAGATCTAGCACAATAAACCACCAAGGGACACTAAGGACCAATAAAGTTGCCAACTTTATGGAATCTCAACACTGTAGCTCATCTAATCATGGACAATAATGCATTAAACTCTAGATATAACAACAAGAAACCATAAAGCATGAAGCTTGAATACTCATAAATGTCCAGATGAGTTGCTAGAAGATGGCAATGAGGCTTGCAAGATGACTTTATGATCCAAAGATGATCCCTTCACCTTCAAGTCACCAAGGCACCACTAAATACTCAAGAACTCATAAATGGGGCTAGTGTTTTGTTTGAAATGAGTGGAGGCTGAAGAGGATACCCTAGGTCATGAGTTAAGATCCTTAAATATGGAGAGAATACTAAAATTTGTGGGCTTGGGCAGCAACCACTCCCACGATGTGACCATCCTATTGTCACGTTGTGACAATCCCTCCTAGATACTCGTTTCATGTTGTGACAAGACTTCCCTATGGTCACGTTGTGACACCCGGTTTTTCCTCAAAAAATATGCCTTTGATTCTGTGATGCCTTAAACTAATCCATTCTAGAAAATGAGTGTTACAATTCTCCCCCACTTAAATTAGATTTCGTCCTCGATATCAGTCCTCTCTTCCACTCTCGAAGTATCGCTTGTGGGTCCTTCAAACCCGACTCCTTCAACACAGGCTGAGATCACTTGAATGCCAACATCTGCAACCATCACCAACAATGGTTCCAACCCAGGCTCATAATCCAATTCGAGTAGACACTTCGAGGTCTGAATCACCTCTAAAGCAACATCTCTTTAATAGTCGATGCTCTCCCGAAGAGTTACGAACCCTAAATTTTAGTGAAAACACATTACCTAATGAAAACGTCTTCCCATGACATCCTTAAACCCATGACATCCTTAAACCATGACGGGAAGAACCCATTCCCTTATCTATAACCTGTAGATTCTAAAGGCCTACACAACCTTCAGGTAGACAGAGTCATCCAAATTGTCACCCATGGTGACCAATACTCGTAGACGTGGTCCGAACAAGACCCATTGACCTTGCGTTGTCCATCGAATAAATAAAGAAGGAAGTTGCAACCTACACCATAGCCAACAGCCTCGCACACCGACGCACCAGCGAAATTCCTAGCAAAAGCCCAGTTGACTAGACTAACCAACCTTCATATCAACTATATAAACCAAAAATCTGCAGATTTGGTCAGTCTGAGACCTTCCCTGCCAGCCGCTGCCCTACGGGAAAATAGAACATGAAGCCCACGATTGACTGCCGTCATCGCTAACTCTGCATAAACATGCGTCGATGAGACTCGAATGAAAATCATTCGATCGCATAATAAACTAGACCAAACACACACTCAACTCAACAACTCTATCATCCACTGACCACACTCGAGCTTACCCCTGATCGGCTAACCACTAATAGCACTCAGGCTTACCCTCGATCCACTAAATACTAACAACACTTGGGCTTACCCCCGATCCTCTAACCAATAACTGCACTCGCAGTCTAACATAAACGCACACCGAACCAACAAGACTTAACTAACCATACCAGGCCTTTAGGTCGTGACTCAGACTTCCAAGCCCCAATCAAACAAGAACAGGCAAGGAATCCCTCCTCACGACCCTCAACCTGGGCTCCTAACACCCTCGTCTCTAAAAAATAAGGACACCCTACTGATTACTAATATAACCAAAACCAAGAAGATTCGGAAAGAAAATTCAATAATTGGCGATGACCCTGATGCTAACATCAGAAGATTAAGCAGTTGCACGAAAGTCTTGAATTGGAGAAATCTAGATGAGAGTTGAACCTTGGCACAAAGTCTTCCTACTACAAGGTCTCCACTCTCCCTTACTTGGAAATTTCTAGACTATAACGGCTCTGAAACCCTTCAAAATCCTAGGCTAACTTAAACTCTACTACTCGGTCCCACCCCTGACATCCAGATACACAAGATGATCTGAACCCTCAAACAACATTCAAGAACTCCAACAGGCATGCATAAACTCCAAGGAAAACAATTAATTTAATCATAAATAAGAGATCAAAATAAAAATAGAACTAATTAAAACAGTTGCATTTAAACGGTCATCCAAGATTACAAATGAACTCTAAATCACAAACAGAAGGATATAGATGATATCAACATTGCAGTAACTGACTAAATCGAAGAACTAATAACTCAAAATTTGGCTCCTGATAAGTCTATTTTATGAATATACTAAATTGACATAAATATGTTGAATTGAAGCATAATTGTCCAAGAATGACACTACTTTGATGAAATGTTAAACATTATGTGCAGGCAACTACTGAGTGCTAAATTGGGCGAAACGCGTAAGAAAAACAAGCAAAAGGAAGCTAACAAGCATGAGAGACGAATTGATAAAGGAATGAAGAAAAATGGTGCTGAGAAATTTGACCACTCTTTAATGTTTTGATCATATCTTTAAATCTAGAGCTCTGATTGACATGAATGAAGAAGTTCTGGAAACTAGACAAAAATTCCTACAACTTTCATGTTTTGCGTTTTTACTGATTCTACCGTTTTCATCACCAAAAGGGGGCAACAATGATGAGGGACGTCCTAGAACGCGTCTAAGACGCCCCCTAGGACGCCTACCCATTTTATGCCATTTTCAAGTCCAAATCAAGGACGACAGAAGGCATGTAAAACGCCAGGAAGGACGCCCAGACATCCTATATAACGTCTAAGACGCCCACTATGACGTCGACGCGGAAAACAGCTCCGAAAATCAGTTTTTCAGCACCTATTTAAAGGAGACTTAACCCTAATCGACTTTAGACTTCTCCCCTGCGATTTTCCACAGTTTTGGAGGGTTCCAAACACTTTCAAACATTCTCCAAACACGTTTTTGATCATTAATTTCCAAATCCAAGACGAGAAATCATCAAGTTCATCATAAAGCAACGTTTGAAGATCATTCAACCGGTGAATCGTCATCAATTTCATCAAACTCCAGATTTGGTTACTTCTTCTCCAAGGTTTCATCGTTCCATGATTGATTGATCATTAGATTTTATTAGTTTTATGATTTCAAGTTGGTTTATGAATTTTATTATGAATTACATTGTTTTTATTCAAGTTTTGTGTTTTGTGAATTCTATGGAAGGCTAAACCACCTAGGTTACTTCCGGGAATGTTTAGGATGAATTGATGAACGTGTTTTGATTATTACTTCTATTCCAATCAACTTTTGTTATTATATGTTCTTAAATTTATGATTTATATTAGTGATAATTGAAGTTGAGTTTTATTCATGTGTTTAATTTTACAATTAAGATAGTTTATTGTTAATTCACTAATCGTGCCTAATTCATATAGCTTAGGAACTAAGACGATCGGTTGAATCAACATATACTATTCCAAAATTGTGATTTTAAATGCTAAACATTGTAATTGGTAATCATAAGACATAATACAAGCCACTCATTGTTCCTAATCCAGTTAGACATAGGGAGTAAGACAATTAGTAGGGATAACATATTGTGTACCCAAAG